GGGGGGGAGAAAAAAAACAAACAAACACAAAAAGGGGGGAAAAAGACAGAAAATGGGGTGAAAAAACAAATCTTGCGGAAAACCCCAAAAATGGGTTAAGAAACAGTCAAAATGGAGCGAAAGAGTCCAAAAATAAGATTGAAGAGCCCCATATGAGGGGAAGGAACTCAGACATGTGGCTAAAAATCCACTGAAATTGTTGAGAAAGCTGCAAAAGTGGTTGAAAAGCGTCAAGAAATGGGGTAAGACAGCCTGAAAACGGGGTGAAAAAGCACCGGTTTGGGTTAAATGTAAAAATACAAGAAAAAAAAAAGCCAAGTATTGGTAGAAAAGTGGTGAAAGCCACATGAAAAAACCGTGGACTCTATAGAATCGCTAAAAATGGGGTGAAATGGATTGAAAATGTGGGAAAAGTTTTCATTTTGGGGTAAGAAAAACCATTTTAAGGTACAATCTTGTGCTGGAAGTAGAAATTATTAGGAAAGGACGTGAGAATGATCAAAACTGGGGAAAAAAAACGTGAAATAAGGCAAAAAACCCAGCGTAAAACAGCGAAAAAAGATATTTAGAGGAGTGAGGGGAGAGGGGACACCCCCTGGGGGACCCCAAAACGGGGGGGACACCCCAAAATGGGGCAGAACCCCCAAAATAAGGCTGTTTTTCCCCCCCAGAGACGTCATCACCATCGACAAGGCGACGGGGAAGATCTCCAAGCTGGGTCGCTCCTTCACCCGGGCGCGGGACTACGACGCTATGGGGTCTCAGGTGGGACTTGGGGGGCAGGAGGGGGGTTTGGGGGTGACCCTAAACCCCCTTTTTTTACCCCATTTCCTCCCCCCGCAGACGAAGTTCGTGCAGTGCCCCGACGGGGAGCTGCAGAAGCGGAAGGAGGTGGTGCACACCGTCTCTCTGCACGAGATCGACGTCATCAACAGCCGCACGCAGGGCTTCCTCGCACTCTTCTCCGGTACACCCCACGGCTGCCCCATAGCTGCCCCATGGCTGCCCCATAAGTGCTCTTTCTGCCCCCCTAACTGCTCCCCAACTGTTCCTGGGGGCCCCAAACTGCCTCTTTTCCAGCCCAGGGCTTCCTTGTGCTTGTCTTTGGTACATCTCCCTGCCCCATAGCTGCTCTCCCTGCCCCATAGCTGCCTTCCCTGCCCCACGGCTGCCCCATAAGTGCTCTTTCTGCCCCCCTAACTGCTCCCCAACTGTTCCTGGGGGTCCCAAACTGCCGCTTTTCTAGCTCAGGGCTTCCTTGTGCTTGTCTTGGCTACATGTCCCTGCCCCATAGCTACCCCATAAGTGCTCTCTCTGCCCCATAACTAC